TAGTCTTCAGCCAAAACTTTATACAATGTTATTCATTGCGCAGACCAAAAATTACATTGGGAAAAGTTTTAGAAAATTATGTTGATGGGTTGAAACTTACTGTTAGTTTGTTTTTGGGTTTCGCCCCGTTTTTATATATTTACGCTATATTTTTAAACTATCGACTATAGGTCACACTATCGCTAGCCCAAACTTTACCTAGAAAACTTTACCTAGCCTGAAAACTTTACCTAGAATTAAGTAACTTGCGAATCCGCAAGCTCTTGATTTATTTAACCGAAGCCCATCGCTTTATCCATTATCACCACTTAAATGTTATCTTATGTATGTTTCTGTATGTGTACCTACACAGTAAATTACCGGCGGGTGTTTCTAATGGTTTCTCTATCAAAAAAGGATGTAGCAAAATTCCTCTGAACGATTAGCTCTATTTAATAACCGCCATCTGTGATGTTTTCGTGGCATGTACGCTGAAAATATGTGACTTGGTAACTTATAAAGAGGCCTTTTTAATGTAATTTGCACCGTAATATTTTTTTAAATATATATTTTTTTAACTATAACTCACAAGTTACCGTCAGATATTTTTTTGAAATTTCTTCAAAAACCTATCTATATCTGGCTTGATCCCGTCCCCTTTTCATAATAACAGCTTTAAAGTAACGATTGATTCCCATACTCACATTAACACAGATTATCTTAGTACGAAGCTTGTATTATTTTCAAAAACAATAATAAACGGGCCCTTTATGATAAAAAAATGAAATAATTCCAACTAAACCAAATGCATTTTTATTACTCTAAGTTATCACAACATTTTTTTAATAGAGTATGAATCCTATTTGCTCCGATTAGGTGTACCGTGAATTTGAGCAAAAGCATCCCGACATCACAACCTTGTTAGATAGCAAAATATATTTAATAGAAAAGTCGCCCAAAGAGCCCCATATATTATTGTATTTAACATACGTAAAACTTTACGAAAACTTTTTACATAGTTGAACCTGGTTAATGTAGTATCCAAAGACATTACAGTTTGGGATCAATAATGAAAATGTACCTTGGTTCACATAGACTATATCATTGAATAAGAGATGTATTCAATGATATAGTCTGTATAATAATATACTACGTTAACGTAACTTTCACAAATAGTTTTTAACAAACTATACATAGTCCCGTATTAGACTAAGGAAGCAAACTACGCAGGACAACAGCACTGCTGAGAGAAGGAAAACTTGAAACAAACCCTATACCAACCCGTCTGGCCAGCGTGGTATACTCGTAGTAGGCCAAAACCTCCCTTCTAAGGAGAGGCCTATGTCCAGCAGTGGACTAGTAAAGGCTGTTGATGTGATACATAGTCCAATAGCACCATTATTTAAAAATATAAATGCATACTAATAAATTTAAAATATTGCTAAAATTGAATACAACGTACCGTCAACAACATCCGAACCCTGAAACATATCAACCTGAATATTTTGTGAATAGATTAATATGTATAACAAAACCTTTTTTTGTGCCGTCTTCTTTTCACATAATATTATTTTTTATCTTTCTTACAAATAAAAGTATTTACAGAGCAAATGAACTGATGATGACGGGTAACTTTGTCTTAAAGGTTGATCTGTGCGAGAGACTGATGCCTGTAGTGGGTAGACCTTGTGATAGATTACCAGCATTTCCAGACTCCTGATCAGACATCTGATACACAACGCCATCTAGTGTCATACTCCGCATAGCTTGTAGTATGAAAACTATATTGACTGATAGAATACTTCTTCGTAAAACCATACATAGAAAACACCCAAACTCCGAAACAAATATTTGCAGATCATACAAATATTTGGTCCGTCTCAGGAATCGAACCCGAGACCTCATCACAGCAGTCGCATACGCTACCACTGCACCATCGAGGAAGGCTAAGGAATGTATCTGCAATTTAAAAATATAAAATGATATTTTTTATGCTATAGGGGCGGACGGGTCACCTGACGGTAAGTGACCACCGTCAGCAGAATCGAGAAATTCTTTTTCTCTGCTACAGCCTCTCATGCAAACATATAACCAAGAGACACAAGTGCGTTACCGTCCATTAAATGCCCTCTTGCCCCTGAATAGAGGGGGTGTCGGGTTTAGGCCCTGGTAACCTCATTCATTTGTTGACAAGCAATAAAAGAACTGCTTAAAGACGGTTTTCTGTCAGGCCGTGGCATCACACCGGTGGAGCCGCCCCATTTGTGCTGGAGCATAGCTCACCCAATGTTGTATTTAGTTTAGATCAGCTCGGATCTACGATTTTTTCAATTCGGGGCAGAAACTCGATAGTGGTGCTCCTCTCTCCAGCGTTTAAGATAAATTAATTTAAAAAAATCACAAATATATAAGTTCACTTGTAGTGTGGGCCTGTGCGGCGTCTTTTTCTTACGAGTCGTTCGGTGAGCCAACCAGGCTTCCGTATGCCGTATGGATTTTCCGTATGGATTTGAGCGAAAATTTAGCTTTCAAACGCATTGTAGATTTACGCGTTAACTGCTAATAGGTTTAATCAATAATTTGTTCATTAATAAAGATTTATTACCGACTCAAAGTGTTAAACAATGTAAAAGTTCAATAAATATTTGAGGTCAGCTATGCGAACAATGAAAATAAACCTAGAAGTTTTTCAACAGTTTTGTACTCTAGGTTGTTTTAACTTGTACTCGTAAATCAACTCAGATGTCTCGAAGTTTAATTTTATATATAATACCCTGGGATTTAGTAGGCTGTAAATAACAAAGTCTATTTATAAACAAATACTTCAGAATAAATTACTTTTATGAAGAACATTAATATTGTTTACTAAGAATAAGCAGATATCATTTTAATACTAAGGGATGTTCACCATAGAAAATTGACTGTTGAATTGAATTATAAGAACTATTATATTTTTTTATACAATCGACATCTTGGTAAGTTACGGAGATCTTCGAGTTAACAGTTTTAAGTTGTTATAATTAAAAAAAAACAGCCTCGTGCTTGTCGCCTTACAAGACCTTATCTTATTTCTTGGACCGGCTTGCTCGTCTATGAGTTAATGATCCTAATTGCTAAGTTAGACGTCATGGGTTCGATTCTTCGATTCTTGTAATGTAATTTATCTATAATATGTATGACTCAGAAATATACCTATATTACCAGCTTTTTCCCACGGCTCGGCCCGCGTTTATGTCGGTTATGGCGATAAAAGTAGCCTATGTTACTCACTGATAATGTAGCTTTCCATTGGTAAAAGAATTTTTAAAATCGGTTTAGTGGTTTAGCTGTTAAAGCGTAACGAACAAACAAACAAACTTACTTTCTCATTTATAATATAAGTGTGGAAGTACGAAAGTACGGATAAATCAAATATTCTATAGACAATCTTGTCACAGGAATAGAATACTGATATTTCTGCCAAACACAATTTATGGAATACTGAGATAGACATTATATTAAAAATCCATTATGACATATCGATTCACGGATGTCAAACTAGGAATTGATTGCCATAATTACACAGGGGGATTCAACCCTTTTATTGGATTTTTTCACATGATATCGCTTCGTCTATCAAGGTTTCACAAATGAAAAATTTTGTTAAATTTGTTTTAGAACCGTTTTTACCTACTTTGTTTTGTAATTACTAATTTATGTTAATAAAATTCCTGGATTCATAAAACAAATTGTTCGTTTTTTATTACATTTTTAAGCGGTTATTTTTGATATTCATTTTCCTGTGGTACCTATTTTTACGCACAGATCAATAGTTCTGAGGCCAACCATGGTAAAAACAAACGAGGGTGACCAATAGAATCGGTAACCTAATGGAGATTAAATTTTAAACTATTTTATCTGAGTAGGACTCAATAATTTTTCCTCGTACAAAGAAATCTAATTTATTTAAGGTATGTTCATTTGCTGATAATAAATTTATAATATACTAGCTGACCCGGCCACGCGTTGCTGTGGCTAAAGTTTTTGTTATATTACATTATAGTAAACAATCTAAGAGGAACAATAAGAGAACATCAGTCACGGAGTCCACTATGCTTTTTCACACAGATGGTATTTGTAAAAAAATATGGTGATCTCCTTATTTGACTTTCTACTACTATAACCCTTTAGTACAATGAAATTATTTACGAACAAAGACGAAAATGTTGATGTTCGTATACAAATTCACTGGATTGAGATTTGAAGGGGAAGTACATTGAACACAATTAATTAAAATGTTCTTACACTTGATATTAAGCAGAAATCAATAGGTACAAAATAAAAAATTATCAGATTTATTATTTCCATTTAATTTTATAACAAATATAAGTATATTACAGTATAATACAGTAAATAACATGTAACGCTTAAACTCATGAATGAGGTAGGCAAGGCAGACAGTCTTAAACTTTTAAACATTAATATCTATTTTTTTGAATTATAAATACTTTCAATTTAAACTTAATGTAACACCAATCGGTGCACAATGTTTTTGGTTAACCTGTCTTTAGCTAACACAAATAGATTCGACGGTTTCCCAACACGTGAACACGCAACATATAGTTGCCCATGAGAAAAACATGGATTTTCCAAATCTAAACCACAAATGGACATTGTTTGACCTTGAGATTTATTTATAGACATGGCGAAAGCTAAACGAATTGGAAACTGTAGCCTTTTGAAGGGTATGGTAGAATCTGATGGTATCACCGGAATACGTGGCAGCAGGACCACTTTTCCTTTAAACTTCCCAGCCAAAATGGTTGCTTCAAGAATGTTTCCGGTGATCTTTTTGATGACCAAACGCGTACCGTTACATAATTGAGGTGGATTCAAATTACGGAGGAGAATAATAGGGGAACCAATCTTTAATCGAAGATTATGTGGTGGCATTCCAGGGATATCTAATGAATTTAAAAATTCAATCGGAAAATTTACACTTTCATTTTCATCAACAACAGTATCGATTGATTTAAAAGACATCAGATCGCCTGGTAACAACTGTTGTATCTGGAAGTTAATTTCGTCAACATCAACGTTTTTGGCTGCCAAAATCGCCCGTTGACTAAGCCATTCATGATTCAAATAATTATTCTGTATATCCGGGAAAATACTCTGAATCAATTCATTTTTATCCTGAACAACAGTGCAAAAATTGTCTGGTAGTTTAATGCATTGCGTAATTGGTTGCAGTTCTATTTTACCGTTCCAATATCTAGTAGTTGTTCGGAAAATATTTGTGCTGGTGGATCATTTTGCAATTGTACTCGCATATTTATGGTCAATCGAAGTGTTTCAACACTTCGCCATAAGAATGATTGTTTCAAACATGCATTAATCTCATCCGCGAAAGTAGAGCGAGTTATAACCGGTAAGGTCTGCCGGAAGTCACCAGACAAAAGTAAGATAGCACCACCGAAAAGTTTATTGTTGCTGTTTAAATCTTGCATAGTTCTGTTTAATGCTTCAAGTGAATATTTGTGTGCCATTGTGCACTCATCCCAAATTATTATAGAACTCTTCCGCAACACTGCAGCTATTCCACTATTCTTTTTGATGTTACACATTGCATCTGGTTTATTATGAACGTCCAATGGCAGCTTGAATGTTGAATGTGCTGTTCGCCCACCATCCAGTAAAGTAGCCGCAATGCCTGACGATGCTACTGCTAATGCGATTTTTTGTTGCGACCGTATTTTGGCAAGAATCAACGATATTAAAAATGTCTTACCGGTTCCACCGGGTGCATCCAAGAAAAAAAAAAACGCCTTGTTCAGCAGCAACAGCCAGCATAATCCGATCATAAATATTTTTTTGTTCTGCTGTCAGTAATGGTTCACTGTTCATGATAATTGTTGCTAAACTTCCATGGTCATATTGATTTTCTCGTTGTAAATCGGTATTGACTAAGTCGGTGGCTGGACGATTAGGTGATGGCATACCATAATGATTAAGTGGTAAATTTGAAATAAGAACACATAAATCCTCGATCAAGACCAATGCTTCATTGTACATCTCTGGTGTATAATCTATGTTTTGGCATTGATTTGTTTGTCTAATTCGGTGCAAGATGTCTTCTGTCATACAATTTTTATATTTTTCCCACAAAGTTTGTGCTTGCGAGGGATAACATGTCGTCAAAATAAGTGCAAACAACTGACGAATGTTATTCGGTGTTGATGTCAACGCAGCATCAGCAAGCGTTAAGTCCCAATGGTTATCGTCTTCTAGCAATTGCAGTTCACGACATGCATCCTGGTATGTATTGAATACTCGACCATTAACTGTTCGTAAAAATTCAAAAGACGTTGGTCCGGGAACATTCACCAATAACAAACGTAAATAGAAGCACTCACGTTGCTTTGGATGTACCGTGTAAAGTCTCCCCAATGTCTTAGCTTTGAATATGCCTGTAATTGAAGGATGTGGTTTTCCTTGTTTCCGTGGCTCCCATTTTTTACTGGATTTGTTCCATGTGAAATAACGTGGAACATCACCATACACCAATGTCTTCGCGAATTGGCCAAAAACATCAGGTTTTTGACACAATGTAAAAAATTCAGTTATAGTCGTTTTCGGAGCTTCGAACGCTCTTTGGAGAACATTTTCTTCAGTGAAGTATACACGTTGACCGTTTTCAAGATGTATTGCCAGATGTTGGACAGCAGGATCTCTTTCGTGGATGGGAAAGCTGAGAATATGCCAAATAGCTTCATTGCTGCTAATGTATCTGCCCATTTGGTATCGTGCTATTTCGTCATTTTTATTTATGTTTTGTACTTCAAATATGGCCAAATCACTGCCTTTGTTACCATATTTACAAATATACTTAATTGATTTAACAGAACTGCAAAGCTCAACATTGATATGAGCTTTGTAAGTTTTTGAAAGTAGTGGTGAGTATGGTACCATCCACTGATTATCAAACTCAACTTGATTTGGAAAGTTCGGCAGTCGCATTGTAAATGTGTGGCCACCATTATCAGTACTTCTGCGGCGATACATTGGATAACCATCAATATCCGTGATCGTGTCATTCGTATGCGGCTTTGGGAACTTTTTTTTACATTTTCCATTTTCCATGCACGGTGACGTCATGTTGAAAGCACCGCATGGCCCATGGATCATGTGTTTGGTGACAAATCAAATAATTCTTGATCAATTAATGGGTCTGGAATTTCGGCTGAAATTATTTGATCGATTTCTTTGAGCTGCATTTCTTGTTTCGATTTGTTCTGGTAATTGCTGAGCTCTTTCAACACGTTTGCGTCGTGACCCATTGCTGCTCGCGTTGTTGAGGTTAGATTTTTTCGGTGGCATTTGACTGAAAATAATAATTTAATCGTTTAAATATTAGAAAGAGGAACTGAAAAACATGTTATCATAGCACATTGAAATAATAAGTGCAAAATAATTTTCAATGGTGGTTAAATAATTAAATAATTATTTATAAATTTTTTTGTACAATTATTGAAAATGTGTGGGGAGCTTTGTGCCATTTTCTCATTGATATATTAATTAACTTTTATAAAACTATGTGATATTACTTACATGTATAAATTGAAATTATTGTTCCTGTGCTCCTACTGTGTGTCTCGTTCTCCTGCTGCTCTTGTTCTTTTATAATATGAATTCAATGTACACTTCAGTCTAAGTAACACGTGGCAGGCTATGCTAACACCAAATATTTAAAAAGTGGAAATAATTGAATTATACGGTATTTCGTTCACTACAAAATAAATTTAATTAATTTTATAGCGTCAACAACACGTGGTAATTATGCTGTTAAAATGTAGCTTATATGACACTTTCGTAGATTTACCATAGCAGCGCCATCTATTGATTACTTGCTCAACCCAGTCGAAAGGTATCGACAAACACCAAAAATTTAAAAAGTGGAAATAATTGAATTATACGGTATTTCGTTCACTACAAAATAAATTTAATTAATTTTATAGCGTCAACAACACGTGGTAATTATGCTGTTAAAATGTAGCTTATATGACACGTTCGTAGATTTACCATAGCAGCGCCATCTATTGATTACTTACTCAACCCAGTCGAAAGGTATCGACATCTGTTAGAAGCATTTGGAGTTAACAGATAATTGTGACTGTCAAATAATAACAGACAAATAATTAGCAATAAATTAAAATTGCGACTATAATTTGAGATTTAAACTATCCTATCTCTCAAGTTGGATCGAACTGCACATGATGTGCGAATTTTATTATAATCGGTTAAGTGGTTTAGGAGTCCATTGAGGACAAACATTGTGACACGAGATTTATATATATTAAGATATATATGTACATAACTACAGATTCAATCGCTTTAGCATGCATTGATTATTCGGTGAGAATAACATTATAAAATAATGCATCGAATACTTGCTAGTGTTAAATATCAACGTATCAGAAGACGTCAACTTCTTGGGCTAAATTAAAACTAGTGTTCGATGTCCTCAGTTTTGAATGAAGTCGCTGTAAATACTGACAAATTCTTGATACATGGTGTTTTTAACATTACAAACAAAAACTAAAACCAAACAGTGAGGAAGTATTACAATTAATATCTAAAATCAATGCAATTCCCTTTGATTAGTTTAAATTATACCCTCTATGCACGGTCACGGTCCCACAGACCCCCGTACTAATTTGTAGAACGTTCGAATTGAAATTCAGTAATACCCGCATGAGAACAAATGAATTATTGCGGCTTAATTGAAATATCCTGCCAAGTTTAAAGGGTCATTTTAATGAATGTTGATTTAGAGACGTTGAATTAAGAGACCGGCTCTGCATATTTATCAGTGATTGCACCCTCTGTAGTGTTTTACTGAAATGAATCAGTTTTTTTTTCATTCTTAAATCAGATTATCAAATTTTACATGTCGATCAGGCAATATTATTTAACATCTTTAATGTACACATGTTTATGCAAATAAAATATCTTGTATCTTGTATCTTACTTCGTTAACGTACGTAACGTAACGAACTGATCAAAGTATCCCAAAATATTGATATGCTGCAAATATTAAGCGAGTCTACCGATATGAAAATTTCTAATGAGAGTAGTAGAAACTTTTAATTTTTATTAAACATATAATTAATGTATTTTGATATAAAAAAAACAGAAAACTGGGTATGAACCATTCCTTCGTTCGCACCGAGTGTTTGCGGTTATATCTCCCATTCCTTAATTCTGGGGTGGGGGAGTTGTCTTAAAGCGCGACAACGCACTTGTGACTCTTAAGATTAAGGTATCCATGAAAGGCGGTAGTCACTTACCATCAGGTCACCCGTCCGCTCATTGACCCCTATACAGTAAAAAAATATTGGAAAAACTTAGAATGTTGAGCTTAGAAGGGTTGTATGGACATTGTTATAGAATCCAATGCAAATACAGATATCTTACAGGCCGCGTTGCCACATAAGCAATACAGATGACGCCCTATTTATTCAGTTTTTCAAAGGATGGCAAAGAAAGTCACCTAAATATATTTCTCCACAATAATGTATGCCTCGCTTCAACAGCTCCGGATTTATAAGACGTGACCGGCGTAACCACACTATCGGATTTTCGAGAAAATACGTTAAACCAGTAATTTATAGAACTTATTCTGTCTTAATATTATGATTTCTAAAAAACCTAAGTGTAGTTTAAATAAATGTAAGCTAATAAACGAAGAAATGATAAAAACGACAGTGAAATATGCTTTGGGGGACGTAATTGGGTGGTGAAAGAAATCAATTCCATTTGGGGGCAGGCCCAATCGAACGTAGTGCTGGCTATGTAGCTTATAATATTTATTAAATAAACTAGCTGACCCGGCCACGCGTTGCTGTGGCTAAAGTTTTTGTTATATTACATTATAGTAAACAATCTAAGAGGAACAATAAGAGAACATCAGTCACGGAGTCCACTATGCTTTTTCACACAGATGGTATTTGTAAAAAAATATGGTGATCTCCTTATTTGACTTTCTACTACTATAACCCTTTAGTACAATGAAATTATTTACGAACAAAGACGAAAATGTTGATGTTCGTATACAAATTCACTGGATTGAGATTTGAAGGGGAAGTACATTGAACACAATTAATTAAAATGTTCTTACACTTGATATTAAGCAGAAATCAATAGGTACAAAATAAAAAATTATCAGATTTATTATTTCCATTTAATTTTATAACAAATATAAGTATATTACAGTATAATACAGTAAATAACATGTAACGCTTAAACTCATGAATGAGGTAGGCAAGGCAGACAGTCTTAAACTTTTAAACATTAATATCTATTTTTTTGAATTATAAATACTTTCAATTTAAACTTAATGTAACACCAATCGGTGCACAATGTTTTTGGTTAACCTGTCTTTAGCTAACACAAATAGATTCGACGGTTTCCCAACACGTGAACACGCAACATATAGTTGCCCATGAGAAAAACATGGATTTTCCAAATCTAAACCACAAATGGACATTGTTTGACCTTGAGATTTATTTATAGACATGGCGAAAGCTAAACGAATTGGAAACTGTAGCCTTTTGAAGGGTATGGTAGAATCTGATGGTATCACCGGAATACGTGGCAGCAGGACCACTTTTCCTTTAAACTTCCCAGCCAAAATGGTTGCTTCAAGAATGTTTCCGGTGATCTTTTTGATGACCAAACGCGTACCGTTACATAATTGAGGTGGATTCAAATTACGGAGGAGAATAATAGGGGAACCAATCTTTAATCGAAGATTATGTGGTGGCATTCCAGGGATATCTAATGAATTTAAAAATTCAATCGGAAAATTTACACTTTCATTTTCATCAACAACAGTATCGATTGATTTAAAAGACATCAGATCGCCTGGTAACAACTGTTGTATCTGGAAGTTAATTTCGTCAACATCAACGTTTTTGGCTGCCAAAATCGCCCGTTGACTAAGCCATTCATGATTCAAATAATTATTCTGTATATCCGGGAAAATACTCTGAATCAATTAATTTTTATCCTGAACAACAGTGCAAAAATTGTCTGGTAGTTTAATGCATTGCGTAATTGGTTGCAGTTCTATTTTACCGTTCCAATATCTAGTAGTTGTTCGGAAAATATTTGTGCTGGTGGATCATTTTGCAATTGTACTCGCATATTTATGGTCAATCGAAGTGTTTCAACACTTCGCCATAAGAATGATTGTTTCAAACATGCATTAATCTCATCCGCGAAAGTAGAGCGAGTTATAACCGGTAAGGTCTGCCGGAAGTCACCAGACAAAAGTAAGATAGCACCACCGAAAAGTTTATTGTTGCTGTTTAAATCTTGCATAGTTCTGTTTAATGCTTCAAGTGAATATTTGTGTGCCATTGTGCACTCATCCCAAATTATTATAGAACTCTTCCGCAACACTGCAGCTATTCCACTATTCTTTTTGATGTTACACATTGCATCTGGTTTATTATGAACGTCCAATGGCAGCTTGAATGTTGAATGTGCTGTTCGCCCACCATCCAGTAAAGTAGCCGCAATGCCTGACGATGCTACTGCTAATGCGATTTTTTGTTGCGACCGTATTTTGGCAAGAATCAACGATATTAAAAATGTCTTACCGGTTCCACCGGGTGCATCCAAGAAAAAAAAAACGCCTTGTTCAGCAGCAACAGCCAGCATAATCCGATCATAAATAATTTTTTGTTCTGCTGTCAGTAATGGTTCACTGTTCATGATAATTGTTGCTAAACTTCCATGGTCATATTGATTTTCTCGTTGTAAATCGGTATTGACTAAGTCGGTGGCTGGACGATTAGGTGATGGCATACCATAATGATTAAGTGGTAAATTTGAAATAAGAACACATAAATCCTCGATCAAGACCAATGCTTCATTGTACATCTCTGGTGTATAATCTATGTTTTGGCATTGATTTGTTTGTCTAATTCGGTGCAAGATGTCTTCTGTCATACAATTTTTATATTTTTCCCACAAAGTTTGTGCTTGCGAGGGATAACATGTCGTCAAAATAAGTGCAAACAACTGACGAATGTTATTCGGTGTTGATGTCAACGCAGCATCAGCAAGCGTTAAGTCCCAATGGTTATCGTCTTCTAGCAATTGCAGTTCACGACATGCATCCTGGTATGTATTGAATACTCGACCATTAACTGTTCGTAAAAATTCAAAAGACGTTGGTCCGGGAACATTCACCAATAACAAACGTAAATAGAAGCACTCACGTTGCTTTGGATGTACCGTGTAAAGTCTCCCCAATGTCTTAGCTTTGAATATGCCTGTAATTGAAGGATGTGGTTTTCCTTGTTTCCGTGGCTCCCATTTTTTACTGGATTTGTTCCATGTGAAATAACGTGGAACATCACCATACACCAATGTCTTCGCGAATTGGCCAAAAACATCAGGTTTTTGACACAATGTAAAAAATTCAGTTATAGTCGTTTTCGGAGCTTCGAACGCTCTTTGGAGAACATTTTCTTCAGTGAAGTATACACGTTGACCGTTTTCAAGATGTATTGCCAGATGTTGGACAGCAGGATCTCTTTCGTGGATGGGAAAGCTGAGAATATGCCAAATAGCTTCATTGCTGCTAATGTATCTGCCCATTTGGTATCGTGCTATTTCGTCATTTTTATTTATGTTTTGTACTTCAAATATGGCCAAATCACTGCCTTTGTTACCATATTTACAAATATACTTAATTGATTTAACAGAACTGCAAAGCTCAACATTGATATGAGCTTTGTAAGTTTTTGAAAGTAGTGGTGAGTATGGTACCATCCACTGATTATCAAACTCAACTTGATTTGGAAAGTTCGGCAGTCGCATTGTAAATGTGTGGCCACCATTATCAGTACTTCTGCGGCGATACATTGGATAACCATCAATATCCGTGATCGTGTCATTCGTATGCGGCTTTGGGAACTTTTTTTTACATTTTCCATTTTCCATGCACGGTGACGTCATGTTGAAAGCACCGCATGGCCCATGGATCATGTGTTTGGTGACAAATCAAATAATTCTTGATCAATTAATGGGTCTGGAATTTCGGCTGAAATTATTTGATCGATTTCTTTGAGCTGCATTTCTTGTTTCGATTTGTTCTGGTAATTGCTGAGCTCTTTCAACACGTTTGCGTCGTGACCCATTGCTGCTCGCGTTGTTGAGGTTAGATTTTTTCGGTGGCATTTGACTGAAAATAATAATTTAATCGTTTAAATATTAGAAAGAGGAACTGAAAAACATGTTATCATAGCACATTGAAATAATAAGTGCAAAATAATTTTCAATGGTGGTTAAATAATTAAATAATTATTTATAAATTTTTTTGTACAATTATTGAAAATGTGTGGGGAGCTTTGTGCCATTTTCTCATTGATATATTAATTAACTTTTATAAAACTATGTGATATTACTTACATGTATAAATTGAAATTATTGTTCCTGTGCTCCTACTGTGTGTCTCGTTCTCCTGCTGCTCTTGTTCTTTTATAATATGAATTCAATGTACACTTCAGTCTAAGTAACACGTGGCAGGCTATGCTAACACCAAATATTTAAAAAGTGGAAATAATTGAATTATACGGTATTTCGTTCACTACAAAATAAATTTAATTAATTTTATAGCGTCAACAACACGTGGTAATTATGCTGTTAAAATGTAGCTTATATGACACTTTCGTAGATTTACCATAGCAGCGCCATCTATTGATTACTTGCTCAACCCAGTCGAAAGGTATCGACAAACACCAAAAATTTAAAAAGTGGAAATAATTGAATTATACGGTATTTCGTTCACTACAAAATAAATTTAATTAATTTTATAGCGTCAACAACACGTGGTAATTATGCTGTTAAAATGTAGCTTATATGACACGTTCGTAGATTTACCATAGCAGCGCCATCTATTGATTACTTACTCAACCCAGTCGAAAGGTATCGACATCTGTTAGAAGCATTTGGAGTTAACAGATAATTGTGACTGTCAAATAATAACAGACAAATAATTAGCAATAAATTAAAATTGCGACTATAATTTGAGATTTAAACTATCCTATCTCTCAAGTTGGATCGAACTGCACATGATGTGCGAATTTTATTATAATCGGTTAAGTGGTTTAGGAGTCCATTGAGGACAAACATTGTGACACGAGATTTATATATATTAAGATATAACATACGAGTACCTATGTAACATTTACATGGTCACTATTTGAATATTGTTGGTTTAACGAATTACATAACAATTAAATCTCTCCTTAGAAAGGAGGTTTTGGTCTACTATACCACGCTGACTAGACGGGTATGTATAGGGTTTGTGTAAGGTTTCCTTCTTTTTGCAGTGCTGATGTCCTGCGTTGTTTTGCGTACTTAGTCGGCTCTTACGACACCCACGGGATGAATTGGGGTAGTGTCATACCGTATTCTTAATCCGTCACCACACGGACATGAATGAATGACATGAATTGGGATACGGATACGGATTATGAACTTATTTATTATAGAAGAACTGTATTGCAAATTGCGAGCATTCGGTTCTTATCGTATATTTTAATTTGTTACGAGTATCTATCACTTTTTTACACAACGTTGTTCCTACAAGGATGTGTAAAACTAGTATGAGCTTTCTAGCTAGTTTTTCTGTGTGATAAGAGCGTCTATACTGCGGTATCGTCATGAGGTAGATAATATATGTTCATCGATAGAATATGTACCCTCGGCACACGAAATATCTGGTCAGTAGTACGAAGTACCTGTGATTTTAATGAACTATTACAGAAGAAATTGCAACTAACAACGCAGAATGGTTTTAAAACAATAATAATTTGCAGGGAATAAATAGTTGTTTACAGTTCGCACACATGTAAACGTATGATGACATCCTTACCGGAATAAAACACACATGTAAACCTGACCAGGTATTTCATTTGCCGTGTGTACTATATGTGTGTGGGTTCTGATCACCACTATAATAATAGACTGCCGTTTTATAACATTAATTAGAGCAGGTAAAACATCTGTAATAGAAATGTCTGAACAGTGACGAGGGTAAAGCTAACATTGTTATATTACATGAGACAAGTATCGGGGAGCTTCACTTGAACGGCTATTATGTCTTATTGCAACACTTAAACGCAGGGTTGTCAATATCGATCTGACAACTACGATGATAGTGCTAATCAATTTGGTATATTTTATCTGTCACAAAGTTTTTCGTATAAAGATACAAAACAATAGTTTTTTAATATAATTTTACGGCCGTACGAAATTTTAATTGAGAAAATGTGTACATTTAATCATATCTGTTTATCTCTTCGTAGATACAGTGCTTTCATGGATATAAAAAACCGAAAGATCATAATTAAACTTGGTGTTGTAGATCCCAAAAATATATCAAATCCACATATATGTATACATAAAACTGAGACGTACAAGAAAATATATTACAGCATCTTGTACTCACTCTTTAATCAACAGGTTCGTTTTTTTTTCTGGCGGCCTTTGAATGGTTTTAGTTTTATCAATAAAATAAAATTAAAAACTGCTTTTCGTATCGACGGAGCTTTATTGTTAACAGTTAATTAAATTAATAACAGTCAAATGTAAAACTCATGATAACTGTCATTTTATGGACTTACAAATATATTTTTGTAAATGGCAAACTGTGCCGATGTCGACAATTCTGCCAAAGTCGAATGTGTGATGAACGTGAGTGTGTTTGTAGAGCCTTAGAGGTATAAAACATAACCTCTGAAGGATATCACTGCACTGAATGTGATCTTTTTGTTGTTATTAATATAATTTAAAAGAAAACATGTTACATTTTGATGGTATTACAACGTATAAAGATCATCAGCGCTTGGAAGAGTTCTGGAGATGAATAGGTTAAGTGAGAAGAGAAATTAATACAATATTTTCTTCTTTCAGAAGCTCTCTGGTGACCTCATCCTTGACAAGTCCCGCACGTTTGATATTTTATTGTATGTTAATATGAATAGACTAAAATTAGACAAGACAAATTTACAATGGCGAATTTTGAGCAGTCGATACGTGAAACGATTTCTGTTTTTCAATTACTTAGAGCGCCTTAACCACCTTAGACACTGTAGTGTTGCCACTAGGTTTAATCTATCTTTAAAAAAAGCAAATGTAACATTATGGTTTAAACCGCCTTTATAAGTTCTCGTTTCTTAAATAGGTCGCAATGTTTTCAACACGTCATTTTAATCAGCATTTTTGTTCTAGTCCCTTCCCAAATTCACTGGCCTTAAACTGCGTCGTAAATCAGTCCACTGACTTTAATATCACACCCCATTAAGTTTATATAGCACTACTTAATGTTATATTCGTACTTTATGTTGATTAGGGTATGACCAAAGAACTCGTATTTTTTTAACAAGTTGACATCTCACCTAACTAAACTATTATGTACTGACGAGGACTATTTTATTGTATTGCTTTCAATTCAATCACGTCAATAAACAAAGTAAAGTATCGATTAAATAAACAACTTGACAAGAGGTAATCGATTTAATAATTATGTGCTCAAACACAACGAGGAAAAGAAATTGTTTTTTTTACAGCTTTGTTGACAATTGGCGCAAACCGGTGTTGACAACCTCATACAATTGCGAATTATTATGATTGGTATTATTTGATATTGCTAATTAAACGCGTTTATGGAGTAAATGAATCTCCGCTTAATTTTGACACACGAAGAATTGGTGCATAATGTTGTAATTAGTCAATAGAAAAAAAAACAGCTCTACGCATGTACTTCCTAGTCTCCAACTCTTGCAAACTTTACTGTACTTTATTTATTTATTTAATACTTTATGCACAAAAGAACATGTACAAAGGTGGACTTCATGCCGTAGGCATTCTCTGCTAGTCTACCTTGGGTTGGTGTAGAGATGAGTGATTAGGTGCACTAAACTTAAATAAAAAGTTTCAGTATCAATAACAAAACTTAACTAAGAAATACATTCACACGACGAGATACGCGAAAAAGACGCGGGTAAAACAAGGGATGAATATATATTAATTAGAACTTTACTTCTATACATAGATAAAGATGGTGAAAATGTCAACAAAAGAATAGTTTTTTGGTGATATTTTCACCAATTGATATACATATATCTTAAAAAGGAAACTAAACAAAGATTTTGAAAATCCTTTAACACCAGTCTGCTTTTTAAGAGCCCTTTTGGTTAAAAAAGCTCGTTCCTGTTGGTCCAACGTGCCATTAAATCATTGAACAGTTTGGTCCACGGAACCTATATTATAAATCAGTCATCGACATCCTGCACGGTAAGCTCATCCTTTTGTGCTAACGTAGGACGGTCTATTATTTACGTGTATGTTAAACGTAAATCGAATAAAAGCATTAATAGTCAAGAGTATATCATGTAAAAAAATAAACCGAGAGAATGTAAAATTTAGAGTAAGATTTGTAAACACGTGCACAAACACCATACCACGTTGCCGTCAATAGAGTTTGCTACAAAAGTGTCAACTTCATTATGAATATAATCGCGATCAAATCCTGATATTTGTAATTAACTTGGAATTAGCATATTGCGAATTACCTAGATAAATTTCTCCCTGTTGATCGTCATATAACGCTGCCTAATAGAGCCAAGGTCATATGTTACCGAAATCGATGTAAGTGTTACACTCTTTCGACTTCATCTTTAAATGTAGTTGGAGGGCTCGTTCTTCCCTTCAACAGTAGTAGATAAGCAATATCTCTTTCTTTCCTTTGTTTTCTCTTCTTAACTTTCCCTTTTATTATGCTTCAAATTTTAGTTTTTGTTTCACTTACTACGTAGGTACTTTTTGATAAATATAAATAAAGAAGTAAGTTTTAATGTTATCCAAATAAAAAAAAGAGTTGCAAGTTGATGTTCGAATGTAAGATTTCTCACATTCGCGAATTCGGATGCGAATATTCATATCAAATATTA